TATATTCAGTTTAAGGTCAGCTCTAAATCTACAAGGTTAATAGTATTATCAACAGTGTAAAAGACAGAAAATGTAATCATTGCTCAGAATAAGTAAATTTCTCACAACATTGTAGATAGATATATAGAAACATTTTTCAAATACATTGAAAATAAACTATAAAACATTTTTTAGAAGAAATTCAAATTTTAAAATGATTTCAATAATGTTGTTATATTAAAACTAATAATTTAATATATTAATTTTACAAAATCTTAATAGTTTAAATCCTAAATACTGAAAAAACTTCAGGAGACCAAATAATGAAAGAATAGAAAGATTTCTGACAGATGTAAAAGAATATTTGACACGGATTCTCCATAACAGCCCAACTGCTCTATCAAAATCAGCTCAGGTATAATAGAGAAAGTAAATTAAAATCTGAAGATTCTCTTCTTACCAGTAGAATAAATGAGTAGTGTGTAAAAAAAAAAAAACCCAAAAAAACAACAGTGTATTGATTATCAGGGATTGCTTATTACAGCATTAAGTTTCTTATTACAAACAAGAGAAAATTGTCTAAGAAATGCAAAATACTAGTTTAAAAGATTGTTTTATTTAAAAATATACAAACTTATAATACAATGATAATCTGTCATCTTTGAAAAATTGTCTGAGCAATGGAAAAAAAAATCATGTAAGATTCACCCACAAGGGACAGATTAGATATTTTTAAATTTCATCTTAGTGGAAGATGAAAATTTTTCACTTTAACATAGTTAATTTAATTAAAAAAATCTTAAATAATTTAAATTTGCAAAATATTTTGTGATTTGTAAAGTTAAAGTGAATGATTCAAGAAGTCTTAAATCTTAAACCTGAAAATCTAAAAGTTCCTTTAGACAAAACTGGTTTTTACTCATTATTATAATAGATCTGTACATTGTTAGTAAGTTATAGGAAGTATATATTATAGATAAATTGTTAGAACATCAAACTAAAAGGGTTCAATACTGACATGTACAGCCTGCTGAACATTATTACGTTAAAAAAATAAAAATTTCAAATTCAGGATAAACGGGAATTTCGGATAGAGCATCTGATCAGCATGAGATAACCACAAAACCAATTTGATGAGATTGCAAAGATAACATGGTCTAAAGAGAGAAATATTGGCACTCAAGTCATGGCTTCTGATGAAAAGTCAATATGATTAGTAAGTTATTAATACTGACCAAATGACTCATTATGTTAAGGCACCTGATCTGATGATAATTTCTTTCTTAATGCTCATGTACGATGAAGTTATGTCAAGGGTATAGTGAAGTTAGCATGAGCTTATAACATTGGTTTTTGGATGACAGCAAAACTTCAATTTTGTCATTATCCTTTTGACCTGAATTTGATATTTATGCAAAGAGAAAGCAGGAATTTAAGGGATATAATATAAGTATCCAGGAAATAAAACTAAGATTTTTAATTAGAGCTACAAATTAAAAATATATAAATAAAATATATGCAAAAAACATAAATTTACTTTTATAATGCAAAACAAAAAATATTAAAACTCAAAACACATTTGTCCATAAAGCCTTGTAGGTATTAAAGAGAAACTTGAAAAATTCAGAAGAATTAAAGCATGTGTTCCCATGACTGTACAGCTACTTTTAGCATTATAAATGTACTGATTTCGATAATTTATATCCTCAGCAGCAGCAATTTTCTTGGGTTTGATGGAAATGCACCATAGCTACTAAATCCTTAGAATATAAGGGAATAAGTATAAGTTGTTAAGTTATTTTGTAAAAAATAACAACTAGAATGATTTACTGAATCTAACTTAAAATAATAATGTAAACATATACACAAATTAATGGTAGTCCATTGAAAATTTTTATCCAATGCAGCAATATATATATATATATATATATATATATATTATACACACAGTAGATGTTATCATTGGATAAATAGAGGCCACTGCTTAAAATAATATTAACATCACTAGTTGTGCATGATCAGTAGAGAAACTAAAATACCTAAAGCAAACCCTAGTTATACACTGACAATAATAAGGAAATCTGAATTGGGAATTAAAGGGAATATTTTCGGGAATAGATTTGATCATTTGTTTTATAGTAAAAAGATATTCATTATTATATGAATATGATGGTGTTAGTTGATTTTCAACTTATCAGTGGGTATTTTTCATTTGCATATCACAGATATTATAAATATACAGATAAATTAAATGCAGTAGTCATGTTTGAAAACCTTACCCCAATCTACATGTTTGTCTGTACAAACTGAAGCCAAACTTATTTATACAATCTTGGTTACTTCAAAAACCAGTTTTCCATCAGTTCAGCCTTTATATAGGAGGGGATGATGAAAAATTCTTTGCTTGACTCACTTCTTAAAATCGGACCAAATGACCATACTTCAATTTGGGGGGGGGGAGGTCCTTGGGGCGCCAGGAGCTTTTCAATACTTAAAAATTATGGACATAAAATATAAATCTTAGACATTTAATATTTATACTTTAAAGAAATTAGTTTGTAAATATAATCCATGGATATTTATTTAAGAAACAATTTGATTTAATAAACCAAAAAAAAACTGAAAACATTTCGTTGTTCAGAGAAAGTGAAACAAATTGTTTGCATTTAATAAAAAAAGTTTTATAGGTTAAAAGTAATCAATCTTCAAATCCAAGCCCCAACTGAACAGAAAAAAATTATACAATTTTAATATAAACTAAAAGAATTTGTTCAACATAAAATAAAAAACAAAAACAATTTTCTAAAGGAAACAAAGCATTTGTAAGAGATAATGTCTTAAGTAAAACATGAGAATACTTGACTTGAGCTACAAATATTGACAAATTTATGTACTGATCAGATAAAAGAAAAGCCTTCAAAAGTTGGTAAGTTGAAGAGCTTATACTCTATTCCTTTAAAATAAAGTAGGAAGAAACTATTTATGACTAGGCTGTACTTATCTTATTATTAATGCTATAATTATATACCATAAAAAACAATAACGATAAAAATTGTTAGATATCTAGTCTATTAACAAAGAGATAGTGTTATAGGTAAAACATAACATGAGACTAAGTAATAGCAGATGAAAGAAGAACAATATACAGGAGTATGTGTATGTCAGCACAATAGTGAAATGGAGTAATGACTATCAGAGAGGAATAACTGTTATCAAATAAAAAGTATTCTTTATATTTAAGAATCTATATAAATAAAAATAACAATTTAGAAACAGTGTTGTAATGTGAAAGAAAAGATGAGTATGATTAAGTCTTACAAGTACACCTTGCCACCATTGATGAAATGGTCAGTGTGATAAAAAGTCAGGATCCTGGTTCTGGCAGTGATACTTCGAGAGTGAATCAAAAAGAAATCCAAGACCCTGCAAAGGGTAAGAAGAGTGAGGCAAATATATTGAAAAATATGTTGTTTATTACAGGCATCAAGTACCATTTTGGAATATTATAATTTAGCTTTCTTAAAAATGCTGCCAGTATCTTTGGTGGCAAGATGGCCAGATGCTGCCATATTTAGTAATCAATTAACTAACACATCTTTGGTTTATTAGGTACTGCAAATTTTGTAAGCATGTAATTAGTTATGAGAAAAAAATTTGAAAGCTATGTAATTCACATCTAAATCAATTATAGTAAATTATGTAGTAAATACAGAAAATGCTACCAAAAGTAAAATTCTATATACTCAAAGATAATTTTGTAAATATTGTAACAATTTATTCTTTGTTAGAAAACACAAGAATGAAAGGAAAAAAATTAAACTACAAACCTTTTACTGTTGTTCTAACATTTATTTCATTACCAGTTGTTTTTTCAAGGGAATTTTAAAGATGACTTAATGATAAATGTTTCTGGTTCATTCAAAAAAAGTAAAAATATGGGATAGAACCAAAAATGTATCAAAAACTGAGAATTTATATCAAGACAGAAGGGAAATGGGGAAAAAAAGTTTAGCATAAAAGAAAATTACACACACAAATGCTTGAGGCAAAGTAATTAAGACTATTTGATGTCAATATTCCATAAAATATATATGAATCTTCCGAAATTTTTGGAAGGCTTAATTTGAAAAGGGTAAACGTGAAGAAGCACAGTTGTAAAAAAATAGAACCATGAATTAGTGAAAACCTAATAGCAAAGATAAAAATAATATTTACATTAAGTGAACTAGTATACAAAATGTGAAGACAGAAGGCCATACTGCACCACTAAGAATTTTTTAGTTATAAACAACTTGGAAAGTAAATGTAGAAAAGTTAAAACTACAAATTCTGTAGAATCCAAGTAAAAGTAAATTCTAACTTCTCATCATAAACAATAATGTCTAAGGAATTTGTTTTTTTAAATGTAAAAAAAAAAAAAAAATATTCAGATTACTAAATAAAATACCATCTGAAAGAAAACCATGAAAATATGGCACTAAATTTTCTAATTTTTTGTTTAAATTCATTAATTATAAACCCTCAGCTTTAAAGGATTAGGCAATAATTTGTTTGTTGCCTTAATGTAAGACAAAACAGGGTAAGAAATAAATCAGGCAGATCAATCTGCAAAAACACTATGAAAATAATCTAAGATTTATAATCAAGAACTTATGCAAATACTATTTAACTGACATCTATGTACCTGCACATATTTGTACATTTAACAGAGAAAAATAGTGTTGTACAAACATGTATAACTATCATAAGTGATTCAATCTATAGAAAAAAAACAATTATTTTATGTAAATAAATTCACATGTGTGCTGAGATAGAGTGTATGTGAAAGTGCTTTGTGCAAAAAAGAATTTACTGTCAAAACTAAAAACAAAACAAACAAAAATGAGAAGGCCGTAAATGTTGTGCTATTTAATAAGGCGGCATCATGAATGGGAGTTATACAGCTGTGTGGCAAAAAAAAAAAAAAAAAAAAACAGAAAGAACGAGAGATGGTGAGAAACAGCTGCTGGTCATTCTGTGGGTCACTGTTCATAGGCTGTGGCAGTGGTCACCAAAGCAGTTGTTGGTTGACTTAAAAGTTGCATATGTGCCACTGATGATGATGGTAACTGGGCCATCAGCTGAGTTTGTGTGATCCCTGACTGTGAGAATGCTGCTGCTAAAGAAGGATTCACAGCAGACAAATTGGTTGGTGTTATTGGAGGTGTATTCACTGATGCTGTAGCCCCACTATGACAGGTTAGTTGGGCTATTGAAGGCTTTGAGGAGGGAGCCACAGCCAACTGTGTTGGTCTTACATGTTGCTGTTGCGATGATGGTGGTGGTTGTTGTTGTTGCTGCTGTTGCTGTATGTGAGGAGTACAATTTTGCTGTTGTTGTGATTGCTGCTGGGAGAGTGAAAGGATATCAAATGTGGAACAATGCTGACTGTGATTCCGTAAGCCTTGTGAAGTTTTGTAACTCTTGCCACAGTGACACCTGTATCCTTTCCTAACTCTGTAAAGGAAAAAAAAAATCTGAAAAATATCTGGCAGTCAAAATTAAATGTGAAAAGTCTGTAAATTTTAAGATGGCAAAATGATGAGAAAAAAGTGCATCATTTAAATTATACACGAACAAGTTTTCTATCAGTACACATTTAACCAAGTTAAAATATAAACCTGTATGACAGTTAAATTTACAAAATTATAGAAAATTATTTCAATTTTCTAAATTGTCCTATTAATGGACTCTCAAAAGATCAAAGCATCCATATTACAAACCTTAGAAATGGTAAACTTCTAAAATACTAAATTCTACAGAATCAGTAATTCTGAATAAATGAAAAGTAAGTTCATAAAATACATTCTAGCTCTTGAATTTACTAAAATATATAATCAGAGGTATTGTTTAAAACATCATTTTCTCTTACCTTGCATCCTTGCGATGCCCATGTCTAGCATGGTACTTGATACCATTAATATTTTTGTATCTTTTCTTACAGCCAGGAATTGGGCAAGGAAATGGCTTATCACCATCAGCTTCTTTTGTATTTCTCATGCTAGAAATTAAAAGAAGAAAAGCCAACATAATTATAAAAGTAGTTTATGATTTAGAGTTAAAATAGAATTAGATTTAGCAAGTTACAAACAAAAAAAATTTCCAGCATTTTGATCATACTAAAGAAAGCAAATAAAAAGGTTTTTAGAATTTATTTTTGGAGGTCTAAAAAGATGGTTATAAATGAGACATTGTCTACACTATTTTGATAACTAAGTTAAATTAGTTAAACAAAACTTCACTTTTTTTCTCAAAATACTCAAATTAAGAATAAAATAACTATTTCAAAAACACATAAAAATATATTTATTTATAAAAATATTCTTGTAATGTAAAATTATCAGATGACAATTAATTGAAAGCAAGAAATAGTAACTACTAGATCATAAGCTCTAAAATCAGATAATATTTGCTTATATTTCAAGATCTTTGTTAAATAGTTTTAAAAAAATATTTTATAGAACAGTTTAATATATAATCTTAAGTGTATTATCTAAATAAAACCATAAAGATTGTAGTGATACTGGCAAATTAATATGCCTAATTTTCATAAGTGCAAGAGAAAGCCTATATAACTCATCACTGGGATTAATGTAGGAGGAAGGCAAGCTTAGCAACTGACTAGTGCTATACTTCGACTTCACATCAAAGATATTTGTAAAAATAAAATGAATTAATTTTCCTTGCTTAGAAGGAATTTTATAGGCAGAACAACCACTGAACACTAGTGGCTAAAAAAGAATAATTTTTACTTTGGGTTTTAAAAAAATGACTTGCAGTTTTGAAAATATACACATTATAAAACTGACTTTATTTTTTTAATATCTAATTTCAGGTGTATTCACTAGATAGAAATAATTTTATTTGTAGAAAACAAACAATTTTACACCAGAGATTTGCATATCTGGAAATATACACATTTTAAAAGTGAAATTAAGAACTATTTTAATTATTCTTAATATCTAATTTAGGCACATTCCCTAGATAAAAAACAAATTTATTTACAAAAAAAAAAAAAATCTTCATTCATTTTTTTTTTGTTTACAACAACTTTATTTCATGATTGGCATACTGCCTTACTAGAAAATAATTACCCTTACAAAAAATCCAACTTCATACAATTTAACATTAAGACGAAACTGGCAACAATTTTTTTTTATTTTTACTTGCTATTTTGTTAACTTAATTTTACCGCAAAAAGTTTTTTTTAAAAACTGAAACAAATAGATTTTAGACATTATGTCGTATTTTCCTTTTTTCTGTTTGAAAACATTCTATGATTTCCAAGTGTCATATCTGTCATATTTCTTTTTTTCTTCATTTCTTTTGTAAACAGACTTCACATTTATTTCCTAAAACTAGTCATATGTTTTTAACATATTTTTGTTCAATCTTTTTCTCTTACAATGTCATAAATGTTGATAAAATTTAATTTTATTAACATCTGAAAGCCTTTTTCAATAGTGTTTCTTTGGATATGGTCGCTCAGTAGTGATAGCACTAAACTGAATGATTTTGGTTTTGTAAAATATTTTGATGCAGTTTCACGGTGTGAAGATTAAACTGCAAAAAGTTGTTTTTTTGGTTAAACTTCTACTGAGAACATGATGGACACCAGTGAACCTAATGTCTTCCTTGATAGGTGCAAGACAGATCTTGCTTCAAACTATTTGCACCTCTTTATGCTTGACATGTTTACAGATGGTGATGGTTTGTAAGATAATGCAATTCCCCCACCCCACAATGTGCACAAGTGACACAAAACTGGTTCCAGGAACATTGGCTGATTTCCAGCTACTCCAATGAGTCTGGATTTGTCAGATTTAAAATCCAATGGGCATGTAAAAGACATTGCAAACCTCCCTAAATACCTTGAAGCTAAGCCCAATGAACACCATTAGTGCTAGCACTGGAATGTGCTGGGATAGATATATACCCACACAATGACTCAAACAACTCAGACTCCATGTTCACACTGCATATCTGCCATTATTCAAGCTAAGGGAAGAGCTGCATATTAGGTAAGTTTCTTTAATATTTGGTACTTCAGTTGATTTATCAATTAAAACTTTGGTAAAACATTCTTATATGTCAATGTTATATTTGTAAAACTGATAATACTCAGTTAATAGAAAGCTAAAAAGCAAATGAAAATTAAGTATTATAAAAATTAATTATTCATATCACATTTTACAATAGATAAGATTTAGTGCCTTGTAATGATTTTTATTAGCTTACTAGCAGTAGAGCCCGGCGTTGCCCGGGGATGTAACAGTAAGAGATGGATCAAGTATCGACCATCATAAAGACTGAAAAATAAAATTGACAAAGATTATTGTTTAAGGTTGACGGACATGCATGTCTTAATTAGTTTTTTTTTTTTTTTTTTAAGAATTGGTCAAACCCAAACAAAAAAATTGTTTTCAATTGTTATGAGTCTACCGATTGAATAGAATTTCATTATAAACAGTTGTCTTGTAAATGGAATTTTAAAGCATTCTGAATGTAAAAAATAAAGAAAAAAGTGTGCAAGACAATAAGAAACACTATAAAAAAAAAAAAAAAAAAAAAAAAAAAAAAAGAAGTGAAGTTTTGTTGAAATTGGTTGAAAAATGTAGGAAATCCGATCCCATATATAAACGAACACACACACACAAACAACCAACCTGGGTTTTATAATAAGTATAACTTGATAACTCGATATGAATAAGTATAACTCGATATGAATAAGTATAACTCGATACGAGTTGTTCCCCTTTCATTAATGCTTCTTAATCGTGTTTTCAAATTGATTTTGTACAAAAACAATTGTGTTTTTCTAATTTTTGGTGCTGTCAGAACCACCGCAAGGTAATGTTACGTAGTCCTGTGAAGTTTTGTTGAAATCGGTTGAAAAATGTAGGAAATCCGATCCAATATATAAACGTACAGACACACACACACACTGTGTTTTATAATAAGTAAGATTCATACAGAAGAATAAGTATCATGAACTCAACTTTACATTATTAGTTAGAACAAAATTGTTTACCTCAAAATCAAATCTGAATTAAATTCTTCTTGATTTGTCCAGGAATCATCACTGTCTTCATTTTCACTGACCATTTCATCTTCATCAAATTCACTCCCTAGAATAAAATAGTAGCAATTTGGAAACAAATATATAAAATTCTGAAGATGAATGAATTCAATATTAAGTTTCATTTTTTCACTTACAAGACTCAAGTAGAAAACCTTTATAAAGTGGTAATTACAAAAACTGAAATATGCAGTATTACTGAAGTAAATAAAAACTAACATTTATAACAATTTTTTTTCATTAAAATAGATTTGCTTTTAATTCTTTTTTTTTTGACATTTGAGAGTAAACATGGCAATTTCCTTAAGTTTGCAAATAGTGAATACAGATTTGAAGCTGCTTTGCAGTGATGTCAATTTTTCTTTTGGAATATTCATCAAATAAACAAAAATTAATTTATAAAATAATTGAACTGGTGCAATTCTCTTCCTCATCTAATTTTGTTTTTGAACAAGAATACTTTAATAATTATAATTGCTATTGTATTGTGGTGGTAAAAATTGTTAGAAAATTTTTTTCATTTTCAAAAAGAAAATGTGGAAGCTAGAGAGTGAAAATTTGTGACTAGTTATATAATAAATAAATACTTTCTTCAGATTCATTTAATCAATCAACTATAGTTGATATTGTAGTAAAAGCAATTTTAAAAATTACTTGGAAGATATTTTGTATTAAAGTTTACTATTGGTTTCAAATGGTCATTAAAAAATAAGTAAATAAATAAAAATGCAATTCATTTAAAATATCGATTTTTCCAAACATGAAAAAAATATAAATATAAAATTCTTATATGTATAATAAAATTTTTTAAAAAGGCATCTATGAATAATAATAACAAAAAAAAAACAGGAAAGTTATTAACCATAATTACTAATTTAGATTACTTTCATCTTAATTTTAGTTGCTTCTTATTGCAACTTTACTAAGACTCCCAATCTATAGCAGTGAGTTAACAGCACAGATTGGAAATAAATGAATTGCAAGTCAAACATCCTTTTGCCTCATTCTATATACTCACTACTGAAGACTCAAATAAATTTGCCATTAAACTAAAATATGGGGGAAAAAAAACCAACTAAAAATTAAAATGAAAATAAATATTACTTAAAAATCAATAACAAGAGTTAAGAATCTATCTGGTTAAAAAGTAAAAACAAACTTAAAAATGACATGGGATTTAAATATTAAAAATAATATAAACATTGCCTTAGTGTATAGAACATTTAATTTTTAAATGTTGCAAAATGAAAGAACTTTCTTAAAAAAAAAAAACAACAAAAAAAACAATATTCACATCAGTTTATTGCATCAAGTTTTTATTAATTTATTTATTACTAGTATTACTGAATGTGAATTATTATTTCATATTAACGCAGAGCCTTTTCTCAGTTTTACAACTATATATGAATATGAATCAATAAGACTGTAGTTAACTGAATTTTGGTCCCAAACATATAACATGTATAACATTTTATCTATAGATAAGTATATGGTTAAGTACACTGAAATAAGGTGATTATGCTAGTAAATAAATGCCTGTCATTAGTGTGTGTATATATATATATATATAAAATGGCTGGCTGCTTGTATCCAAGTATACCTGTCTGCTAGGGCAGCAATCCAAACCCTGTTGCAGATACCTGCTCAGGCAGATTTGTGTTTGTTCAAAACCCACTGAGACCACCTGTGGCTTATACTGCAACATGCTGAGTGAACCTTAATTACAGTTTTTGAGAAATATTGCATCATCTTGTGTGGTTAACAGTTTGAACAAGGCCAGTTTTTTCAAAAACTCAGTCACAATGAATTGTAACATCATGCTAGCAAAACCATTGATGAACAGTTTCATCTACCCAATTTCACTGACAAGGATTGGGTCAAACCATGGCATGGTTTTCAGCACTTTCCAACATTATTGTACAGTGTGATCACTTCCCTAGGTCGATAAGGTCCAGACAAATTGACCATGATGAGAATTGAACCAAAGGTCAGAAAGTGAACATCCTAACCACTCAGACCACGTGCCCATTAGTTGGACATAATTTGTAAGGCTTTTTCTAATGATTAACTTTTTATTTAAGAAAGCAGTATTCATTTGACTTAAGTACAGAATAAGCTTTAATATATATAAAATTATGTGTTCTTCAATGCCTATTGTTGAAAGAGGTATATCAACTCTTTACATACACTTTAATGGGAAATTTCACTTACAGATGTTTTCTTTGCCTACATTCCTTGGTAAAAATCAACATTTGCACAAATATATATTTTCAGTCTTGTGCATTAGCTTTGGAGTCAATTTCAATTTAAAACATACTGATCCAATTGTTTTGTCAAGGAAGTTCAATTTTTGTGCCTGAACACTTTAAATCCTAAAAGATCTCTTGTATAAAATGATTTAATTGCTCAATTCAATTTAAGAAGAAACCACAATATGAGAACGGATAGCAATTTTCTAATCAAGTATTTTTATCAAAGCGGAAAAAAGAAGGCTAGAATTAAAGCAAACTAACCTGTGGCAGAATTGCTACGAGCATAAGTTGCATTAGAGCATAATTGAACATTTGAGGACTCCACATTCAGCAGCAATGTATTTTTAGTACGATTGATATCTGAAAATTGAAAAGATCACATGAAAAAAAAAAAAAAAAATCTACAAACTCACAGAATTTATAGATTATGATTGAATATTTAAAGAACAACATGTTTGACCATTTTGTGAACATTATAAAAGTCATTAGTGAAACAGATTTTTTTAATCATTTCACCCAAAGCAAGGTAATAAAGTCATCAAGACAAAAGGGGGTTACAAAGTGTAAAAGAATATGAGTAAAAGAAAAACATTAAGAGAAAACAATAAAAGAACATGAATTAAGAAGACAAAAGATAACAATTGACATTGCATTTAAATTTTTTAAATTCAAAGTTGACTGGAAAGCAAGAAGCCAGAAAAGAATTCCTCAAGCGAGAAGTATGAGAGAAGAAACTGTTAGCAGAGAACTTACAATTACATCTATCCATTTCAACTGTAAAATCATGAGATAACTGCCAAGCTAGTACTGTGTTTAAATTTGTAATGTTGAGGTACCAAAGAATAAGGTTCCTCAAAACAATTACCATAAAAATATTTATAGAAAAGGCACAAGAAAGCTGTTATGGCAGTAGGAAAGTGACTAATGCTGAGATGTCAGGTCAGGACAAAACATTGCAGATTTTTCTATGAATTTTATCAAAAATCTAAATAGATAGCAGAAGCACCTGACTAGATGTGACAGCAATATTCAATGCATGGACAAATGGTAGACAAATGTGTATGATAAAGTCACATGAGGAAAAAAAAAAAAAAAAAAAAGTCTCACATAACACAGTAAACCAACTCTTAACAGTAAACCTAGCAATTGATTCAATATAATTGTTCAACTTCATGTCAGTGGAAAACATTAGCCAAAGAAGGTGCAGGGAGTCACACTCCTGGACATTAGCATCAGCCATGCTGATGGAAGGTAAAAAAGGAAGAAAAAAAAAGGTCTCTAAGGCAATTAAAAAGAACAGTGTCTTTTTTTTTTGAGGCATTACAATTAACAAGACATTTCTTGCCCCCATCTAACAGATTGTAGGTAATATTTGAGATCAGCTGCCATTTTCATCTTATCGAACATATGAAACTTGCCATTAAGACAGGAACAAATAGTTGTGTCATCAGCACAGACACCTAGTTAAGAACTGATGACATTGAGAAGGTCATTGATAAAAATTAGGAACAATGTAGGTTAAAGGATAGAGCCTGGAGGACACCTGCATTAATGCAAAAAGATCTAGAAGAATGACCATTAAAGCCAACTTTCATTTCACAATTTGATAAGAAAGATTGAATCAAATCAAAAACTAATCCAGAAATACAATAACCCTTCAACTTGTGAAAAAGACCAGAATGTCAAATGCCTTTAACATATCCAAAGCAACAGCCTGAGCTTCACCATTCTTATCTAAATCTTGATAGACACTTTCAGAGATAACTATTAACACATCAGTAGTTTACCTAGTGAAGCAAAAACCATATTGCTTATCTGAAAGAAGACCCTGCAAGGTGAGACGTTTAATCAATTCAGGGTTGATTAGAGTCTCTAGTACATTACCAAAAAGAGCTACTTCCTTTATACCTCTTTTAGTAGTTACAAGGATTAGACGGTTCAAAATTCTTAAAGACTGGAACTACAGGAGAGGATTTCCAACACGTTGAAAAGCAAGAATCAGCAAGGCATTTATTGTAGAGAGTTTAGAGAGAACAGGAGCAAGTTCAGGAGCACATTTCTTAAGGACTATTGCAAGAATACCATCAAGTTCACATGCTTTGGAGGAATCCAGTTCAGAAATGATAGCAGAAACCATGGAGTTGTATGCTTTTCACACAGTGGAAAGTCAGGTAAAGATATTCGAGATGAGTAAAGAGTAGAACTGGAAGAGAATTTACAAGCAAAATATTCTACTTTATCAGTAGATGATAACACCTCAAATTGAGTGAAGAAAGGAAGGACAGAAGACTTATGCTTATTTAACATACTATTACAGAGCCACTAGTTGCCACAAGAACCAAACTTGTTAGGCATTATATGGTGCCTCATTCTGTCAATGAACAAAGACTTGGTCCCATTGAAGACACATTTACAATTATTATGAGCAGATACAAAAGGACATCTGCTGTGATCAAAACTATCACATTGGTACAGCCAGAAATTTTGAAAGGAAACATTTAATATATCCAAATCTGAAAACAATTATTTATTTTATACATAGATTTATTAAATTGCTACAGAAAAGTGAGAGAAAAAAGAAAAATCAATTATACAAAATATAAATAAGTAAGGCTGCTGAGCAGAAGAGCCATCTTCTTAGAAGACTTAGGAGTCAGTATCACTGCTTTTAAATTACTCAACAACTTCTGTTATAATCAAACTTTCATTTTGCCAGCATTTATTAAGCTTAGGTTTTTGTTGCAATAAAAAAAATAAAATAAAATAAAATAAAGTTGAGACAAAGCTGCAGATTGAGACATGTTTGACTGTCTTGCCCTGGTCAAAACATACTCTTGTAGTTTCACATCAAAAATTAACTATTTTTTTAATCATTAAAATTTTAGCTAAGAAATTTCTTATAGTTCAGGTATTTTTCAACTTTCAAGAACTTACATTTTTAAAAATAAATACTGAACTGAATTTTAAGTGTTTTTAACAATAACTGTAAATTCTGTTTTTGGAATTTATTTAATAATTAATATAATTTTTTTTTTTGATGTTTTTACTTTTTAAGTTTTTAATTTGCTGATTTTTCTAAATTATGCCTTGGGAAAAAAACATCTATCTATTGGTTATTTAATAAAAGAGTATTAATTTTAAAACGTTTACTTGAATAAAAAAGAAAATTGAAAATTCCTATTTTAATTAAATATTTTAGAAAGAAAGTAACAGGAGTAATGTTTTATTGTTTAATTGTGAATAAACATACATTGTAATATTGTAAAATCATAAGAACTATTTTTAAAATATAAATTGTAAAGTAAAAGCAAGTTGAATTTTCAATATTTCTATACAATTAAATATTGTTTATTGGAGAGGATCCTGTATGCAAGGCGAAATTTTTTTTTTTTCATGAAGCACTTTGTAATAAAAGACATGGAACAGAGTAACTCAAATTAGGCTTTATCCTGCATAATAGAACAGTAGTGCAAACAAAAACTATTTATAAGGACGTACAGTCCATTTCTGATGATAGGCGAGTGGGGGGGGGGGAGGAATGTTCACCACAATCTCACTTGTTTCTAGAAATAATTAGTGGCTGTTAGTCAATCAATATTAAGGAATGATTATATCCTAGCAGGATTTATTTCAATTTTTAAGTATCTCCTTTATAACCTTTTTCGATTTAAGGAAATCAGCAAAAGATTTATCATAAGTTAAGCAGTCAGGAGGTCTATGCGTGCACTCTGATTGGTGTAAAGGAATTTCAATTTCATTTTCTGGTGTATCTGTACTAGATTCAGTCTTGTCAGGATCTAAGGTGTCAAAGTTTTGAGTGGGTAAGTTAGAGTCTTGTATTTCAGGAGAACAGTTCTGAACAATACCAGTAGGGACGAGATCTTGGATTGATACTGTGGTTTCTTTGCTGTTTTAGAGAAGAATGTGTGCATAGTGAGGATTGGCTTCTATAAGTTCCGCCTCCTCCACAATAGTGTCGTACTTCAATTGTCTGACATGTCAACTCAAAAGAACCTTTCCTGGTGTTGTTAGCCATGTTGGAACAGAAAAGCCACTGGAGGTTTGCCGAGGATAGTTGAATAGGCATTCATGAGGTATAGCATTCGTAGCTGTTGAAAGTAGTGTGCGTACTGAATGGCAGAACATTCTCCCATTAATTTATAGACATTTTTCGGTTTCATCTTCACATCATGATCTGCATTGAAATTTTTTACGAAACCAAAATCATTTGGTTTAGTGCTATCCTTACAAAGTGACCATATCCCCCCCCCCAAAAAAAAACTATTGAAAAAGACATTCAGATTTTAATAAAATTAAATTTTATCACCATGATTGTAAGAGAAAAAGATTGAACAAAAATATGTTCAAAAATTTAATTGACTAGTTTTAGGAAATAAATATGAAATCTATTTGTTTACAAAAGAAATGAAAAAGAAAAAAAGGAAATACTACACGATATCTGAAATGAAATCTATTTGTTTCAGTTTTAAAAAAAAAAAAAAACTTTTTGTGATAAAATTAAGTTAACAACAAAATTGCAAGTAAATATAAAAAATTAGTTGCCAGTTTCATCATATTTTATGAAGTCTGTTTTTTTGTAATTTCATGATTGGCATACTAAAAAGTACGCCAATCATGAAATAAAGTTGTTCTAAAGAAGAAAAATGAATGAAGATTTTTTTTTTTCTTTTTATAAATTCATTTTTTTATCTAGGTAATGCACCAAAATTAGATATTAAGAATTAAAATAGTTCTTAATTTCACTTTTAAAATGTGTATATTTCCAGATATTTGAGTCTCTAGTGTAAAAATAAAATTGTTTCTTTTCTACAAATAAAATTATATTTCTATCTCGTGAATACACTTAAAATTAGATATTAAAAAAAAAAAAAAAAAAATTTTAATGTTTTAAAACAAGTATATTTTCAAAACTGAAAGTCATTTTTTTTTTTTTTTTTTTAAACCCAAAGTAAAAATTCTTTTTTAGCCACTTGCGTTCAGTGGGTGCTTGTTACTGTTATGCCTATAAAAATAAAATTCTTCTAAACAAAGAAAATTAATTAATTTTATTATTACAAATATCTTTATGGCTTTATCTGGTAAATACACTTAAGTAAGAAGATTATATTAAAATGATTAAAATAGTTTTTAATTTCAGTTTTAAAATGTATATAAAAAAATAAAAAAAAAAACAGGTGATACTCGCGGATTTGGAAATATACACATTGTAAAAAATGAAATTAAAAGCTTTTAATTATTTTTAATATAGAGGTGTATTCACTAGATAAAAACAAATTTATTTAGGGAAAAAAAAAACAAAAAAAACAACTCATTGATTTTCCTTCTTTAGAAGAAATTTA